ATGGCCTCCCCTAACTTCTGGGCTTGGGGCTTGAACACACCCTCCATATGACTCCAATGCACAGTGAAGTTGGAGAAGCATTGCTGTTGAATACATTGGGGTGAGGTGGGGTGGGGTATGAGATACCCACCTCCTTCCTGGGGTCCCTATGCTCAGGTGTTCATTTCCCACCCCACCCTCTCCTTCCTTGGCCTGCTCAGGACAGGGAATGTAATGTGGAGGACGTCAGGGGCCTGAGAGAGAGAAGAGGGCTTGTCTCACACCCAAGCACCCCTGCCATCGGTGGAGGGGCAGATGTGCCCCCTTCTGTTTCAGCAAAACCTGCAGATGCTATGAGAAACAGGAGATAAGCTCTGCTCTCCTCAGCCCTAAGCAGAGGCAGGAATGTGTGAGCTTTGCAAAGGGCTCTTTCCTGTCCAAGTAGCTTCTCTGCATCTTGGTGATGCCCCATGGGGACACCTGGAAGACCTCACAACTGGGTCCCAGGGACTCCTATCCTTCTCCTCTACCCTCACCTTTTGCTGAGGTCTCCTCCCCACTTCTTCCAAGGATCTGATGCTCACAGGGAGCTGGTTCTAACACACAGCAAAGATGAGCTGTGTTCAGGATAAGAACTGGCAGATCAGCTGGGCATGGTGCATACCTGTAATCCCAGCACTCAGGAGGCTGAGGCAGGAGGATGGTGAATTCCAGGCCGGTCTATGCTACATAGCGAGTCCCTTTCTCTAAAGAAGAAAGAAAAAAACTGGCAGATCTCACTCTCCCTTCCTTTGTCTTGCTCCTCATTCTCACAAGGCCTGATACTAGGAAGCTGGAAGCAGCTGATCACACCTGCAAAACAGGAAAGCAAGTGTCAAAGGAGGGGAGCTGGACTCCCAGAGATGTCAAAACAAAATTCCACCAGCCAGGTGACAAATTCTGCTCTCTCCATAAAAGCAACAGCTCAGGTCCAAGGTCAGGAGGAACAGCATTGTAGCAGACTGAGGGTTTCCACTCAAGTCCACAGGAAAGAGGATGGAGGCCTGGCCACACCATTAGGAACTGTGAATCAGGGAGGTGACAAATCCACTGGGCTGAGGGCAGTCAAGCCTGGGGGTAAGAGGGAAGCCTGGGAACACATCTGGAAGTGTCAAAAATGGACCTTTTAGGGTTGGTGGAGTGGCTACTTGAGCCACTCCAAGGTAGAGTGCCTGCCTTGCAAGTGTGAGACCCTGAGTTCAAACCACAGTACCACCAAAAAAAAATAAAAATAAAAGAATGGGCGTCTTTTATTGTGTTGACATGGGAGGGACAGCTGGAGGAACAGGAGAGTACAGCCTGCTAAAGAACCATTCTGGAAAAGCTACAGGAAAACTGTGTCAATACATAAGATATTTCTGGATGGAAGAGAAAGCAGCCAGCCATCAAGTACCCTGTGTTAAACTCATTTACTCTCCACACCCACACCACGAGGCAGCTGTTATTACTACCATTTTACAGAATCAGAGGCACAGAGAGGCTAGGACACTGGTAAAGCTCACACAGCATGTAAGTGCTGAAGGTGGGATTCATGTCTGGGCTGCCTGACTCCAGAGCTACACCTCCTAACCATAAAACTCCTTGTTGTTGCCCAGAAGGAAACTAAGACATGGAAAGGCTACGGTGCTCGCTCAAAGTAAGAGAGCAACACAGCAAGGGACTAGGATTACAGTTCCAGTGCTGGCACGCTTAGCTGGCTGGCAGCTGCCCCTGCCCTAGGTCTTGTTTGCTTGCCCCCTGACTGCCCCAGTCCTTGCACTGGAGGTACTGGGTGTCGCCTACGCTGTGCAGTGCTGACTTGGCAACATCCGGCTTATTTATGTAACGTGAGATCTGCTGACTGAAGGAAACCAGCGCCCACAGATAGTCCCAAGATAGAGATCAGGTGTTCTTCTCTGAGCCATCCATCCTCCCCACTAGCCAAGGGGTGCTACAGCTTTGAGGGTATGAAAATTCTCAGGTGTCAAGGACCTCTACAGCCCTCTCTCAGCCCCAAAGTCAGAGATGAGCAGAGAGAAGTGGGCAGGGAGAGGCCCTAGCCATCACCAGCAGCACCAACAGCACATGGTACGTACTAGGCCCCTCCTGGAGCTCTTTCAGTCCCCTAGAGTGCCAGGCCAGGAGGGCAATTTTCAGCCCCGGCTCAGGGCTCCATAAATATTCTTTGAATGACAGATCCTCATCAGGAGTCCTCTGGGCAATTATTATCACCCCAACCAGGAAATCCAAGGCCCCCAGAGATTGTGATGTGATAACAGGTGACATGAGGACAGATGCAGGGTGAAGTCTGGAACTCGGGGCTTTCTGACTCCAAACCCAAACTCTTACCCTCCACATCCATGGGGCCCAGGGCTGGGGTCTGAGGGTGTGTAAGGACCTGCTCGGTTGCAGTGTCTCTGGAAACTGGGGCATTTCTGAGTGTAGCTGGGGAGAGGGCAGGAAAATGAGGCAGAGTGCCACCGGCCACACTGTGCTGCATCACAGTTCAGTCCTGCTGGCCATGGTGTTTTTGGCTGCTTCCTCCAGAAGCTGCCTCTGCAATAAGGATTTAAGAGCAAATAGTCTGTTTGGAAAATGACCTCAGTCTATAAACACCTATAAGCAGGTAGGAAAGTAAGACAGGGATGCCAGTGAGGGCATGAGTGACCAGGTTCCCTTCATGGCAGTTAGGACACACCCCTGCCAGGTGTCTTGGGGGACTCAGAGAAACTTCTCTTTATCCTCCCACCTGATGCAAGGAAGCTGTGCAGCAGAAAGCAAAGGAGATAGGTGACTGCTACACACCAGCCTCCCCTGCAAACTTCAGGATCCTCCCCCCAGGCCCCTGAACATATGACAACGAAAAGCTGAGCTCCAGTGGGAGTAGGGCTTCAGGGTCAGAGCTCACCTGGTGCTGGGGTTGATTAAACATCTACACATGCACCAGAGTGACACCCAAAGACCTCCATCCAAAAACCACCTCCCTCTCTCACACCACTCTGGTGGGGGGACCTGAGATTACCTCTGAAGCCTTTTAAGCAGGACTGGGATATGATCCAATCAGCATTTGTAAGTGCTCCCTCTAGCTGGGGACAAGAGTCAGAAGGCAAGATAAGGGGGCCTGGAGGGCAGACATGCGTTCTCCTCCAGAAACCCTGGTAATCCACTATGGAGTATTGGACCATTTGGGTCTCCAGGCAGGAGCAGGAGCCCAGTCTTCTGAGAGTTGAGGGACTGGAAGAGGTGAATGAAGCTGAGTGAGTGGGCTGCAGGGAAGGCCTCCCTTCAGGGCTCTCCTTGGCTCAGGAACCCCAGGGCTCTGAGCCCACAGGCAGAGCATCTGCGAAAGGCCTAGCAGGCAGGAACTGACATGTGATTACTGCACAAGGGTGCAGCAGTTTCTGTAACATGGGGGAACATGGAGAAGCTGTGCCATTTTCCTCCCCTTAGAGAGGACCAGGCTGAATTCATTAGGATGCATTTGGGATGATGTGTGGCACTGGTAGTGGGGTAACAGGTCTTCAAAGATGCTTGATCCACTTTTCCATCCTCCCGCACCCTCTGTCTGGATGCTTTTCTTCCCTGCCATTCCTGACAAGACACCCTGGGTCCCAGTTGAACTTTAGTCCTGCTCCATTGTTGACAGAGTGGCTCAGCAAGTGGGGGGTATGCTTGGTGCTGAGCCCCCAGGGGCTGTCTGCCCTGGCCTTAATCCTCTAACCCCTGAGTATCCATGAAACTTCCCAGGCCTTCTGTCTCTCACACACATATACACCAGCTGGAGAAACAATGGTTTCTAAAAGAAGATACTAGAATGTGCTGGGCAGGGACCCTGGGATCCCTGAGGGCCATTCCCAGACAATTCAAAGACTAATACTGAAAAGAGCTGGGATGCACTTGGACTACTTCCAAGATCTTCTTCCTAAGCAGCAGCATGTTGTGAGTCACCAGAGCCCCCACTCCTGGGTCTCAATCAAAGTGACCCCAAGAAAGTCTTCTCTAGGCACTGGGAGGTCCAGAAGGTAATGCATGTGCACTGGTAAGGCCCTGAAGCTTAGTGAATAAAACCATTTACAAATAAGTGCAAAGGGAAGAGAGGGGCAGCAGGTCCTCACACAGGAAAATCTACTGTCTTGCCAGAGAGAAAGATTCCAGATGATCCAATCTGGTTCTAGAACAGACAAGAGGGGGACCCAAGAGAGTATGCAGCATGGCCATGGTCCAGGTGTGCCATAGGACAAAGGTGCATCCTACTGGTACTTCAACTTCATTTAGGAATGTTGAGAACGCTGAAAAAGGAGAACCACTGATTGCATACTTAAACACAGGATGGGACAAGAGTCAGCAAGAGTGTTAATATTTAACACAGGACTCAAGACTTAGATTTCCCACTGGGTGGAGGTGGGCCCTCAGGACCATCTATCTATATGCACTAAGCTAGCGCAAAATTAGCACATTACAAATGAGAAAAACTAAGGCCCTAGAGGGCAGGCCACCTGCCCAGCTGCACAGGAGTAAGTTAGTGAGTTTCCATCCAGCCCTGCCTATGGGCTCCCAGATCTTTTTCCAATCCTTTTCTCTCCAGAAAATAGGTTTCCCCTTTTCTCCTTTGCATACACCAACTCTCTCCCAGGAAAAGATGTTTTACAAGAAAGGCAAATGGAAGGGCTGGGGGCCTGGCTCAAGTGGTAGAGTGCCTGCCTAGCAAGCCCTCAGTTCAAACCCCAGTGTCACCAAAAGAGTCTTTGTTCGAGGCCAGCCTGGTCAAAAAAAACCCCAGCTCTAGGAAAGAAATTAAAAAAAAAAAAAAAAAAAACTGGGCGTGGTGTGGCGCACAAGTCATCTCGGCTCGATTACAGGCCTGCCTGGGCAAAAAACGCGAGGCTGTACCTGAAAAATAAATAAAGCAAAAAGGGCTAGGGGTGTAGCTCAAGTAGTAGTACGTTAGACAAAAAAGAAAAAAAAGAAGTAAAAGTCGATCCCGGGAGAAATCGCTCATCGATCGCACGTCACTGAGCCCACGCGCCTTGCGCATGCGTCTACTAAGCCCAGCCCCCGCCTTTCTGCCCCTCACCAACATGGCCGCCTCGGCAACTACCTTCCCTACGGATTAGAATGCGGCCACCTCTGACGTCATAAGGAGGCGCCGGTGTCTATTAGGTGGAGGGGTCGCACGTGTGCTGGGAATTGGACACTTTCAGGCTGCGCCATGAATACACCGCTAAGGCGCAGCAGGCGGCTGGAAGGCCTGAATCCAGAAACCGCAGAGAACGTCCCGGCTGCTTCGCAGGCGAGACGGGCCCTTGTGGAGTTCAAGCCTAGCACAGAAGAAACGAGGGAGCCCGGGTCCCCTGTGAGTGTGCGGCAACATGACCTAGGGTTTCCTTCATGTCAACCGGACTTAAGCCCGGGATCACCCACTCTGCGGCAGGATGCAGACTTGGAGTCCCCCCGAAGGCAGCCAGAGCAGAACCCAAAGTCCCTCCAGCGTCAGCAAGATCCAGGCCTGGAGTTACTTCCAAGACAACCCGAGCCGAGTCCCGAGGCCCCCCAACGTGCGGAGTCACCAAAACTGTCCCAGGACCAAGAGCAGCTGGACTCGGAGGGGGCCCAGGGTAAGGAGGAGCTGACCCCAGGGTCTCCCCAGAGTCACCAAGATGCAGGTTTGGAGTCACCTCCAGGACAGCCAGAGCTGAGTTCTGTTTCCCTCCTACGTGCGGAGTCACCAAAACTGTCCCAGGACCAAGAGCAACTGGACTCGGAAGGGGCCCTGGGTAAGGAGGAGCTGGCCCCAGGGTCTCCCCAGCGTCACCAAGATGCAGGCTTGGAGTCACCTCCAGGACAGCCAGAGCCGAGTTCTGTTTCCCTCCTACGTGCGGAGTCACCAAAACTGTCCCAGGACCAAGGAGAATTGGACTCGGAAGGGGCCCTGGGTAAGGAGGAGCTGGCCCCAGGGTCTCCCCAGCATCTGCAAGATGCAGGCTTGGAGTCACCTCCAAAACAGCCAGAGCCGAGTTCTGTTTCCCTCCTACGTGTGGAGTCACCAAAACTGTCCCAGGACCAAGGAGAACTGGACTCGGAAGGGGCCCAGGGTAAGGAGGAGCTGACCCCAGGGTCTCCCCAGCATCAGCAAGATCCAGGCTTGGAGTCACCTCCAAGACAGCCAGAGCCGAGTTCTGTGGCCCCCCAGCGTGCGGAGTCACCAAAGCTCTCCCAGGATGAGGGAGAACTGGACCCTGAGAGGGCCCCGGGTAAGGAGGAGCTGACCCCGGAGTCTCCCCAGCGTCATTTGCAACCGGGCCCAGAATCCCCAGAGCCTCATCCAGTTCATCAAGCTCCGAGTCCCCAGCCCTCGAAACCACCAGAGGAGCTGACACCCCAGGCTCCCGGCTCCCCCGGGCGCCAGCAGGACCATAGCAAGACATCTAAGGCCAGGAAGACAGAGACAGGCAGCCTCTGTGCAAAGAGGCACAATGCATCTTCAACCCAGGCCCCACCGTCCAAGAAGTTAAAGAAGGAGGAAGAGAAGCTTCCTGAAATCCCTAAGGGAAAGCCCAAATCTGGACGTGTATGGAAGGACCGCTCCAAGAAAAGGTGAAGGGGGGCACAGTATGGCAGGGGTGGGGTTCTCTATGTGTTTGTATGCTGCCATTGTTTGGGTGCAGCTCTAGGGTTGGATGGAGCTCACTTTAGTGAGGGTGTCAGCCAACAGGTGATCATGGTCAGAATGGTAAAATGCCCTGGGATCCCAGAAGGAGGCCCCCAAAGGTCATTTTCTTGATGCTGGTCCACATGGACCTCCCCTCTATCACCTTAGGCCCTATTTAGTCAAAAAGCCTTTTACAGGCTCCTCTACTGAGAAGTAATGGCAAATAAATAAGCCATTGCTTGACAAAAACAAAGGTCTTCGCCCAGTATTATCTGTTACAGTTATTTGTCTTTATGATAAAAAGTATAGAACACTGATTATATGGAACACTTAAGTAAAGGACAGGCTGGAAAGAGAGCTATTATATTTAATCTGCACCCCAACCTATGGAGCAGGTGTTAATGTTATTCCTGTTTCACATCTGAGGAAAACTAGGTTAAAGAAGGATGGGTGTGGTGGTGCATGCCTGTAATGCCAGCTACTCTGAGGCAGAAGTGGAAGGATCTTGAGTTTGAGGCAGCTCAGGCAAAGGTATCAAGACCCTATCTACTAAAGGAGGAAGAGGATCGAAGTACACTACATAGATAGGAAGGTTGTTGGATGACTGATAAATCGATAGGCAGCATAATGAAACCCAAACACTTTTTTAAGGGGGGAGGAGAAGGAAAATGGGAATATAATTGAGGGGGTGAACTTGTTCAAATTATCCTATATGCATGTATGGAATTACCACAATGCAACCCCCTCCTACTACTAATGAATTCTAATTCAAAGACAAAATTTAATTATAAAATAAAAACAAAAGGGTTGAGAGAGTGGCTCAAGTGATGGAGCACCTGCCTTACAAGCCCTTGTTGCCCCAAGGCTCACAAGCTGCCTTGCCCAAGGTCACACAGGCATTAGGTGATAGGCTCAAGACCTAGCACCTAGGCCTGTCTTCTCTCTCAGGTAGGACCAGCACTGCAGAACTGTGCTGCTTCAGTACTTTAGCCACGTGTGACTAATTAAAATTAAATTTAGATGAAATTTCTCATCACCAGTCACATTTCAAGTGGCCCCTGTGAGCATTGGGTCCCTTATGGGACAGCATGGATGTAGAGTATGTCCACCATCACAGAAAATTGTCTCAACACCACTGCTCTGGAAAGACATGGTATGGTGTCCTGTGACTGTAGGGAGACTTGGCATTGTGTCCTGTGACTCTAGTGCTCCAGGCTCCTGCTACACCATCCCTTCAGTGTTCTCACATCCCAGTTTGGGAAGCCTGGCTTGAAGGATGGAGAGTAAGTCCATGCAGCACCCACTCTTCTGTTTTTAGAAGGCTAGGTCTTCAGCAGGCCCTTGGGAACAGTGGCTAAAGGGGCGTGCTGAGATCAGAGGCCTACAGTTTGGTGGAGAGGGGCAGAACCAGCTGCCAATGGTGAGCCTGGGGTTATATTCCAGACTGTATGCCAGACACCCAGGAAGAGGTACAGAAGGGGCAGGAGGGGGCTCTGCCAGCATGACACAGACCTTCAGAGGCTGGGATGGTGGGATAAACAGACTGGGACATCTGTTTGGAAGTCAAGCCCCTGGCCTGGAGAGCACAGTGGCCACTGTAAGAATCTGCTGAGGAACCTGGCTTATAGGGAGATAAACAGAAAAAGAGCAGGCTTAAGGGAGCCTGTTGGGTTTGGCTGCTGACAGGACACAGTCTGAAGTGAGAGGCTTGCTTTCATTTTGTTTTGTTTTGCAGTACTGGGGATTGAACCCAGGACCCCACTCTTGGCCAGGCAAGCCTTCTACCACTTGAGCCACAATCTGAACCCTGTTTTTACTTTTGATTACAAAACAGAAAAGGAAAGAGCAGAAATTAATAAGCCCCACATTCCCACCACCAGATTCCATAGTTCTCAACATCTTACTGGCCTAGCTTCACTGTTGGTCCTTGGCATTTTTTTTTCCCCCAGTACTGGAGCTTCAACTCAGGATCTACATCTTGAGTCACATCACCAGCCTTTTTTTGTGAAGGATTGTTTCCAGATAGGGTCTCATGGAACTGTTTGCCTGGGTTGGCTTCAATCCACAACCCTTCTGATCTCTGCCTCCTAAGTAGCTAGGATTACAGGCATGAGGCCACCGGGGCCCTTTTTTTCCTGGAATATTTTAAAGTGCATCGCAGATATATCATCCCACCCATAAATCCTTGCAGGATGCCTTTTTACAGAGGTCACCTCAATCCTGTAAGCCTGAAAGCATTGCCACTCCTCAAAATCCAGACATCCCTGCAATCCCTCCTGTCTACCCCACCTTCCCATCTCCCTAATAAGAGAAAGTCCGGATCATTACAGAGAAGGCCACCCATTCTCACTCCCCATACAGAGTGAGTACCCTGTCTCCAGAGGCACTCTCACCCAGGCCAACAGCAGAGGCCAAGTAGTCTGGACTCTGAGGGCACAGACAGGTTCAAGTCCTAACTGTCACTTAGAGACCAGGGGGCCTGGTAACTATTTAACCTCTCTAAGCCTTGACTTGCTCCTCTTTAAGATGGAGAGAACCAGAGTCCCCACCTCAGAGGCCTCCTTTCCAAGTGTCTGCAGACTAGAAGTCTGACTGTGAGACCAGTGGGAGGGGACTCCAACTTCCTTCTGAGGAGGAAGGTGCCAAGTCCAAGGAGAGCAGAGGGCACAAGCACCAACCCACAGGCCTCACAGCACCCCTTTCCCCAACCAGGTTCTCCCAGATGGTCCAGGACAAGCCCCTGCACACCTCCTGGCAACGGAAGATGAAGGAGCGGCAGGAGAGGAAGCTGACCAAGGACTTTGCCCGGCACCTGGTGGAAGAGAGGGAGAGGCGCCGGCAGGTGAGGAGCCAGTGGGCTGAACATAGGTCTGCTGTGACAGATGCAGGAGGCTGAGGGCCCTAGGGAGAGCAGAGAGCCGTCTGTGTGGGGGTGTGGGGCAGGAGGTCCTTCTGGTGGCAGGAACAGTCAGTGAGATGGGGTTGGGCCCTTTCCTGAACTGCCCAGGTGGGAAAGGCTTACAGCCTGGAAAACTTTGCCCCTAGTTTTGCTGCTGTCATTCAAGAAATGGTGTCAGCTGAGCACCTATGGCCCACACCTGGGAGGATGGTGGTTGGAGGCCACCCCAGGCAAATAGTCCACGAGAACTCATCTCCAAAATAACCAGAGCAAAATGAGCTGGAGGTGTGGCTCAAGCAGTAAAGTGCCTGATTTGCATGTGGAAAACCCTGAATTTAAACCGCTGTCCCATCAGGAAAAAAAAAAATGACTTCTACATACCAGCATGTGGATGGTTCCCCACACCTTTCCTTAGTTCTTTCCTGTCACCCATCCCTAAGCCAGAAATACCTCATTAGAGGCCTGCACCTGCTGTAAAGGTTTTCAGCACTACCATGTTACCCAGGGCCTATGTTCAGTGGGAGGGAGGGTGGCTCTCAGCAGGTGGCACTCAGAGAAAGCAGTGATGCTGCCCCAGGACCACAGATATCAGCAGACACTGCTTTTCTATTGACCCCAGGGTACAGGAGGCTCACTGAACCAGAGTCAAACTACCACAGAAAAAGGATGGGTGGGCTGGTCACTCAGTCACCCTAACCCTTACGTTTTTTTTTGGTTGCACTGGGGTTTGAACTTGGCCTCACACTTGCTAGGCAGGCATTCTTACCACTTGAGCCACTCCATCATCACCCACCTCTTGCTTTGAGTCATCCCAGAACAGCCCAGGTCTGAGGCCCTGGGGTCAGTATGGCTGCCCCATATGCTGAGGCCTTATCTCATTTCCATAATAGCCCTGGTTCCATCTTGGGCAAGGCAACTGCCTTCCCATCAGCCACTAGAGAGAGGCACCTGCCCATCCCCCACTCAGGCCTTCCCCTGACCACACAGGACCCAGGCTCACTTCTCCTTTCTCCCTGGGGTCCCAGGCCACCCTTATGACCCCAAGGTGCCAAAGCCAGGTGAGGCCCCTGCCCATGTGCCCAGTGCTACCTGGGGACAAATGGAGCATAACTTTGGCTTCCATTACCAGACAGACTCCAGCTACATTCTGAGTGTTCCTGGAGAGTTGGAGCCATTCCGGGCCCTGTGTGTGCTCATTCACTTATTTCTTAATCTCATGACATAGGGACCATGGTCATCCTCACTTTAGAGACGGGGAAAATTGAGGCCCAGAAACTTAGCCACAGTTATCTGATTAGGAAGTAACAGAGGCAAGACTCAAACCTGGGCAAGAGCTGTCCAGAGTCTCTTCTGGGCAGGAACATGGCAGGAGCCCAGCCCCACCGTAGCCTTGCCTTCCTGGGTACACAGGCCTGGGGAGAGGGAGACTGGGCAGATAGGATGAGCAAGAGCCAGACCAGCCCTTCTCCCTTGACAGCTGATGTGCAAGGCAGTGCCAAGGGCCACATCTTATCCCACATGGTCCTCACTGAGCCCCTGTCCTCTGCTGCCTGTCCTTCTAATGTGGAGTCAAAGAATTCTCTGCCCCAGTGGGCCTCTGGGTACCAGGCCCAATACACAGCTCCCCTGGTCCTCCCCAGAAGTTCCCAGGCCTCCACACTCACACTAGCAGGAGCAACCTGGAGTCCAGATGGGAGGGCCTTTTCCCTCTTCCTGGGAATTACACCAACTCTCATTCTGTTGGGGCCTGAGAGGTCAGGGTCACCTCAGCAACCAGTTTAATTTCCCTCCTGTGCACTCCAGGAAAAGAAACAGCGCCGGGCTGAGAACCTCAAACATCGCTTGGAGAATGAGCGGAAGGCTGAGATCGTCCAGGTGGTGAGTGTCCCCATCCCCACCCTCCACCTGAGGGATTCAGACCAATGCCAGGTGGATAAGGCCTCCAGATGTCTCTCCCCCTCCCTCACATGGCCTGATCTCTTGCCATGACTCTAAGCCCCTGAAGCATGCCTTGCCTTTCTCCAGGGAGCAGGGACAGAGGCTACAGCCACACTAATGTTCTCCCTTCTCCCCGGCCCCCAGATCCGGAACCCAGCCAAGCTCAAGCGCGCAAAGAAGCAGCAGCTGCGCTCCATTCAGAAGAGGGACACCCTGGCCCTGCTGCAGAAGCAGCCACCCCAACGGCCAGAAGCCCAAGTCTGAGCTGAGGACAGCCCTCCAGGGCCAGCACTCCAACCCTGTGACCTCAGACAGGGCCCCAGCCTGGACAGGGCTCCTGGGCCTTGAAACTCTTGGGCAGGTCTCTGTGGGTCAGAGGCCCAAAGAGAGTCAGCTCCCTCTTTCCTTCCTCATCCTTCTCCAAGTGCCTTCAGACCAAGAACAGTACATTCTTGTTCCTCAGCTGGTGACTCACCAAAATATGTGGTCATGTCTCGGGGTCCTGGGTCCAACCCAGGCCTGGAGGCCAGCAGTCAGGAACCAGCTCCCTGCCACTTTCCCAAAGGTCACCTGGCCCCCAACCAACTGAATCCAGCTCTTCCCACCACAGCACCACAAGATTAAAATGGCGGGGAGGGGGGGTGGGGGGGGGTGGGGAGGGTTGTTTACGAGAGCAGGGCTCCTCTCCAACAACTCCTTGCTCATACCAGACTGCAGAAGCCTGAGATCTGATAAATCCATGCCATCCAGTCTACAACAGAAATATTTATTGAATGCCTGTTGTATACAAGTCCAATTCTGGACACCAAGGAATACAGACAACAAATAAAAGTCCCTGCTCTCAAGGAGCTTCCATTCTGATGGAACCTATAATAAACAAGTAAAATACACAATGTGCCTGGAGTAAAGTGCTCTAAGGCAGGGGAGGGCAGGAGGGAGCGTGACTGACATCTTACATTCAGGTTGCCAAGCACCTGCTGTGGACTGAGCCGTGGCTAGCACTGAGAATCGTCAGTGAGCCCAGCCTTCTGTGGCGAGGATGCACCAAACCAAGATCGTAATTCTCACCCCTGCTCTTCCACTGTTTCAGCCACCAAAACAAATGAGTGCTGGCACTGTTGCTGTTCCCAGGGATGCAGAGCTGAAATACATCATGCTCTTCTCCAGTCCATAGTGGATGGAGGAAATAGACAAGGTATTCCTCCCACCTGCATGTCAGAAATGTCCTGGTGAGGCAGCTGCCCTTTAAAACATTGTGGGTAGGTCAGCGAATGTTCTTTCACTTACTGGGTGTAAATGAGTTTCACAGACCCTATCATCACCAGAAAGGTGATAGGCAGTAACCCCTTGAACCTGAATGAGCATTTATTAACCTTGAGGCTGACAGAAGCCAACATCTGATGCACAGGTTACCTTTGTGGTTAACATGAAGTGCTTCCTGACCCTTTCACTTTACTCCAAAAATAAAAAATACATAAGGTGGAATGTAAAGCTTCCTATCCTCCCTGCCACCCCATCATCTGGTAAAATTGGGCTCTGCAAAGTGGCACTCTTGGGACTCTGCTACCGTAGGAGTCTGTTGTGAGTTTAGCCATGTGTTACTCCAAGTGTCCACAGACATGCTGTTGTGGTCACCTGGGAGGTATCAGAAATACAGAACCAGCACCCCAGCCCAGCCTGCTCAATCAAACTGCGCTCTAACAGTATCCCTAGGTAATTAACACGCACATCAGTTTGGGAAGCTCCGCTTCAACTCATTGGTTTGGTTTGGTTTTTTGGCGGTACTGGGATTTGAACTCAGGGCCTCATGCTTGCTAGGCCACTGGAGCCAATTCACCAGCTCCAACTCAGTTTCTGAAAAAGACCAACTTGAGTCACCCAGGGTGATTCCTGGGCACTGCCACGAGAACTAGCATCTCCCAGGCTGGAGTTCCCATATCTACACTTTCACAGCGTGTCCTAGAGATGCGATGGCGATTGCTTGCTGCCCTGCCTCTGCCTTCCGGGACAAAGGTCCGAGCCCAGCGATCTGGAGCTCGCCATCTAATCCGAGATGGTGCTCAGCTCGCGGTTCAGGGCGCCCCTCTCGTGGGATCGCACGCGGTCCCTTTGTGGGGGCGCTGCACCGCCACCCCGTAGCCAGCCGAGGAGGCGCGCAGGGCGGAGCGGGCTTGGGAGGCGTCTGCCGAGAGACAGGGTGGAGGCCAAGGTGGCAGAAGAGGAGGCCCGGCGGCGACGGCTGCTGGCCCCGCTGCCCGGCTCGCTGTCGTCCACCAGCACGCTCTCCAGCACCGCGCGCAGCGAGCGCTGCAGCTTGTGCACCACGTCGGGGCACGTGAGCACGTAGAGCAGCGGGTTGACCACGCTGTTGACGAAGGCCAGGCTGGTGACCAAGGGCAGCCCGCGCCACGCCAGCGGCCGCAGCGCGGGGACGGCGTGCGCACGCGCCTCCAGCAGGCTGAAGACGTGGTAGGGCCCCCAGCAGAGCACGAAGGCCGCCACGATGGCCGCCACCAGGCGCACGAAGCGGCCGGGCCGAGGGCGGCCGCGGTGGCGCAAGTGCACGCTCACCGCGGCGTGGCTCGAGGCGATGATCGCCAGCGGCACCACGAAGGCCAGCAGGAACTTGCTGACCGCCAGGGCTGTCTGGCGCGAGTTGCACGCGGCGTCGCGGTCAGGCCCCGGGTTCAGGAGCAGCATGTTGTAATAACACATGATGCGGCCATCCACCCGCGGAATGGTGTCCCGGAACACGAAATACGGCACGGTGTTGAGCACGGCCAGGACCCAGAGCACCAGGCACACTTTCTGGGCCGCAGCCACCGTGCGGTGGTTCTGTGCCCACACTGGCCGCACCACCTGCAGGCAGCGGTCCAGGCTGATGGCGCTGAGCAGAAAGCCACTGGCGAACATGTTAAGGAAGAAGATGGAGGAGTGCAGCTTGCAGAAGGTGGTGCCCAGCTCCCACGAGTGGCCCACCGCCAGGAAATAGGTGAAGAAGGGCAGGGAGGCTGCGGCCAGAAAGTCAGACAGCGCCAGGTGCAGCGCCCAGGTGGTGACCACCGTCTGGCGCATGCGGCAGCCCACCATGAAGAGGATGAGTCCGTTCTCCACCAGACCCAGCACGGAGGCCAACCCATGCAACAACACTGACACGTGGTCGATGTAGCGGATGCTGGAGTTTTGGTGGCTTTGAAGGAGGCTCATCTGCTCCAAGATCGGGCAGAGCGGCTTCAGTGTGACATTGGCCGACATGGCGGGGGCCCTGTGGTGGAGGGAAGGAGGGCTGAGCCTAGCAGTGCAGAGGCAATCAGGGAAGCAGGGAGCCCTGGGCAAGAGGGGATCCCAGCTCAGAGATGCCAACATGACCCAGGTATGTGATAGACGGGGCCACAGGGGGATTGGTGAAGTAGAACCAAGGCAGAGAGAGTAACAAACATCTCAGCTCCACCCTCCTGCTCCCTGGGCAACCTTGGGCAAATTGTTGAACCTTCCTGAGCTGTTTTCTCCCCTGTAACATGGGCTCCCTCATGACAGCCCCTACCTAGCACACAGCTCCTAGCACAAAGAGGCCTGGCACATAGCAAGTGCTGTATCAAGGTCATTGTGATTATTGAGCAAATGGTCCAACATCATTCAGGGAAGTCATTCAGGACTCCCTTTTCCCAGTCCCTAGACCACTAGGGGGGTGGATGTGGCATCACGTACTGGGTCAGGGGTTTCCAGCTTAAATGGGGAAGGAGTATGGAAGGAGTCTATACCGTCCCTTCCCACCCATGGCACCTCCAGGCCCTGCCTCTTTGCAGATCCTCAGGGCAGTGCAGGTCCCACAGAGATGGCTACTTGGGTGTGTTGACCTCAAATAGCAGAGCTGGCCTGTCCTCTGATAGTAGGAGAGGAAATAAGATAAGAGGACGGTGAGAGCTAGAGAGGAGGAACTCCCAGACTGGGGCTGTGGCAGCCCCATGGGGCCAAAAGTTCTCTTCTCTTGGGCGACCACAGCTGCCCTGCCTACCCCAGGAAACCCACCCCTGTTCATTCACTCACTCACACTGGCTCAACAAATACTTGTAGAGCAACTACTCAAGTGGCGGTAGGGAAGCCGGGCTCCAGCAGACTCACAGCAAGTAGCCATAGATGGTCACAGTCTTGAGAACCTACACCCCTTGCTGGTGAGAACCAGCAAGGGCTGGGGAATTGGTGTGGGGCTCCCGGCAGGAGGGAGGGCACAAACAGCAGGGTATGGAATCGCCAGGGATCCTGGTAGATCCTCTAGGTGAGTGCTCTCTTTCTCATGGCTCCAGAAGAAGGATGCTAGGATTCCCTATCCCATTTTACAGTTGAGGAAACTGAGACCCAGGTGTTTGAAGAGCTGGCCAAGGCACCCAACAATGCCACCATTTGGAAGAGCAGCAGTTTAGCGCTCAGCTGGTGTCCTGTCCTCTACCTCTGCTCTAAGCAAGAGATGATGGAGGAAGAAGAAGAGAAGGAAAAAGGAAGAGGGGAGAGAGCCTTCTGTACTCCTTTATCCAACAGATACATTCTTGGCCAGGGTCCTTCACAGGGCAGGTTCCTGGAACACCAAGCAAGAATTTCCCCAGCAGGGGAGTCCTTGTTGCTGGGATTGACACATAGGTGGGAGGGGCGGGTGGGTCCGTGCTTCCTGACAATGCTCCTAATTCCTCAGCTTTAGAGTTTGCAGACAAAGCGCTCACACTTGCACTAACCCTATGAGCCCCTACTTTTTAGAAGGTGACACTGAGGTTCAGAGAAACACAGCACTGGCCCAGTATTCCTCAGCTGCGAGGTGAGACTGGGACCTTACTTCCAGCAGACAGAGCCATGCCATTCCCTCTGCCCCAGACATTCCCTTCCACCAGTCACCACTTGTCTGAGTCCTATGGGATGCTCAGAGCACACAGTCCTGCTGCTATCATTGTCCCCACTCTCCCTCTCCCCCCCAGGTTGCTATGAACATTGAAAGACACAGTGAATGGCTCGCCACCATTGTACCTGACATCTAGTTAATTCCTAAGAAAGCTTAGCCCTGCTGGGTGCTGGTGGCTCACATCTGTAATCGGAACTACTCAGGAGGCAGAGATCAGGCTGATGATGGTTCAAGTACAGCCCAGGCAAATAGTTCATGAGACCCTATTGAATAAACCTGCACAAAAAGAGGGCTGGCAGAGTGGCTCAAGCGATAAGAGCATCTGCCTAGCTAGTGTGAGGCCCTGAGTGCAAAACCCAGTGCCACCAAACAAACAAACAAACGAAAAAAGCACAGTCCATCCCTCCTATGAGCAGCAAGAGTCCCTGCCAGGCCGGTGAATTCATCCCTCTGCCATCCTAGATGGTAACAACCCTCTGTCTGGTAAAACTGCCTTCTCCCCTGGGTCTAGAGAGACAAGTAGGCTGCTCAGCCCATGGGTCCCCCCCACCTCCTTACCTGGGCGCAGAAGGAACGGAGAATCCAGACCTAGAGGCAGTCACCTCTGTCAGCAGCTGGACAGGAGGCACCAGGCAGGCACAAGGAGGAGACTGAGCTAAGGGAGGAAATAGCTGACAGCCAGAATGTGGGGGCGGGGCTGGGGGGGAAGAGGCGGGGACAGCACAAAGAGTTGTCACTCTCATTCATCTCCATCCTCCTCCACAGCCCCCTCTGCCCTCTCCCCTTCATGGAGGAGACTGCAGCCCAGAACACTGCGCAAGTGAGTCTGGGAAGAAAGTAGGAACATGAGTGTGCCTCGGGGTGTGTGCAGGAGAGTGACCAATGTATATTATAAGAGCATGAGGAAAAGAATGTCTTGTCCCTTTTTTCCACTATCCCTGGACTGCCCTCCCCTGACATAACAGTCCTCTCAGAAAAAGCCCCTCCAGGTCTCCTGAGCTTCCTGGACAGCTTGGCCAAGCCACCCAAGGCCATGAGGGATTGGAGGAAGCAGGGCAGTGCTGTGGGATGCAGGCCCAGCTGCCTGCTAGGGTTGCTCATTGGGGCTCCTGGCCAGGAGGTCATTCCCCTCCCCCACTGAGCCACACCTTGTCATCTGTGAACAGGAGAAGTGTCTGTTCACAGTGGAGTGAGGTGGCTTTTCATGAAAGTCAACTTCTTCCCTGGCTGGGAAAAGGTGGGGGTAGGTGAAAGCGATCAGTTTTTATTGAACAGGCTCAGAGCCCTTGGGGTAAGAAAAAGTTGCATCTTACATGTTTTCATTTTATTCTTCCCTAACTTCTTACTCTCCTTTGCTTCATGAGGCCAGGGACCAGCAAGTCAACCTCAGCATTCCAGCACTGAGTGGATCAGTGAGTGCTTAACAAAACATGGGAAGAAATCCACAGACAAAATTCTCTCCAGGCCTAGGCTAATTCATGCCTGCACTTAACAAGTTCCAGGGCCTGCTGTCAGGTGGAGAGGGAACAAAAATGCTAGGTGGATCAGCAAGAGCACGATTACCTGGGTCACTAGCAACAAGAATTGTCTTCCTGTGGGTCAGGGGGTGTTCTGACTGCCAAACCCAATGCCTGCAGCCCTCCCTGGAAACCAGGTGTGTGTTTCTGCTCCATCTAGGGAAAAACAGCCCCATCCCGCCCAGCCCACTTGTTCACAGTTGAGACCAGGTAGGCAGTGCAAGGGTGGTGGTCAGGTCCAGGGACTCTGGGGCCAGGCTGACAGTGTTTACATCTGGCCCTGCCACTCCCTAGCTACGTGACCTTGGGCAAATAACACCACAACAGGAAAATATGAATTTGTAAAGGTTTTTCTTCTGTGTAGTCCCATCCAAAAAGTGGAGTAGAGTCTGCTCTTGGGACTAAGAATTACTCCTCTCCCATAGACACATCTCAGCACTAGGGGATAGGGTACAGCCCTTCCTCTGGATCTCAGTCCCCTCTTACCCCCTCCCCTGACTGCACTTGTGGCATAAACATCCTTCACAGCCTCTCAGGGCAACCATGCTAAGCTGCTGTATGTCTAGCTAAAATCTTTGCTCTTGTGACCTTTATCATTCTGTTTCCAATCCTGTAACCACTGTCAAGGCTTAATTCCCAGCCCTCCCTGAGGACAGCTTATTACCCAAAAAAAAAAAAAGAAAGAAAGAAAAGTTACTAAGCTTTACTAAACTTTAGTGGGGTGGTGGAGGGGTAGAATTCTAGACAAACCAGGCCCTGAGGTATTTGCTGAAGAAGGAAAGGGCAGGAACCCTCTTCCCCTTTTCTCCAGGGGCCTCCCCAGGAGCCTCTGAGCCCTGGCTGCCCTCCCGTATGGAAATGGACCTCTGTGCATTCACTCAGAGAGCTCTGAAAGATGCAGTCTCACAGCCTCAATGGCAGAGGGTGCCAGGGGTGGGATGTTGGATTGGCAAGATGCCAGCATGTGCCTAGGTTTCAGGAACTGAGAGTCAACACTGGCCTCTGCAAGAGGAAGAATCTCTCCAGGGCACTGGAGCCGAGGCAAGGGACCCATGCAGTCTGAGGCTAGAAAGAGAAAGGCCTGTCTGAGCGTTTGTGGACGCCACCAATAAATGGGTCAGACCTCCTCACTAGGGGCAAGAGGCCACCAAACCTGTCAGATAGGCCTTCTCAGAGCTCAGGGTATCTAGGGCCTCTCACAATGAGTGAACATAACACAGACCAGCAGTTTTCATCTCGATCATGAACCAGAGTTAGCTGGGGGACAGGTTAAATCCAAGTGGCTGGGTCCACTACCCAGCAGGTCTGACCCAGCAGGTCTGGGTGGAGACAGATAATTTGCATTTCTATCAAATGGAGGGCGGCCTTGGGCCTATATGCTGATAGCAGGGGAGTGGGCAGAGCGGCTCAGCTGAGGGCCCCTGTGAGCACCTCCCCTCTCTCTCTCAGCCTGGGTCCTAGTCCTCTGGTGAGGATTAAAGGAGCTCATAAACCAAGCATTCACCTCTGAACCTGACACAGAGGAAGGACATAAGTGTCGGCTGGTTTGGTTCTTATTTTTTGGTACTGTCTGCAATGCTGTGGTTTGAGCACATCGGTGGGGTTGGCCTGCCAGAAGGACAGCACCCAGAGCCGCCCTGGAGGACCCATAAGTTAGGAGGACAGAGCAGCCCATGTCTGGGTCCTCTGGACCTGAGGGGCATGAGGTTGGTGGCTACAGAGCCACATGCACCTGGCTTGTCTGAGAAACTAGGGGACTGGGTGGGGCCTGCAGTCCCACCACGCCCTGCCCTGCCCTAAGTCCAATGTCCGCCTAGACCTGGGGGGAAAACTCAGCCACGCCCAGGGCACAGGCCCTGGTCCCTGAAGCATAGTCTCATGGCTTGGCACCTAATGTCAAAGGAGGACCAGGCCCACCTCTGCACTTGTGCCATCTCCCGTCATCTTGTCACTTTTTGGCACACAGACCTTGGCTAGCTGCATCTATTGCCTGGGGTGCTGACCAGATGCCCACTGCAGGCATCCAAGCCGCTGAGTCCAGCACACTATCCCCAATCCCTGTGCCCCCTCTCCCTGCACCTTGCCCCCTTGTCACCTCCTGCCATTGCCCTGAGTTGCTGCTGCAACCTGAAATGCCTTCACCGTCCCGCACCACCCCCCCACCTAAGGTCAGTGTCTTGGCCTGAGGGGCTTTGTTGTCAGCTGTTTAACCCATAGTCAGGGAAGAGGCGTCTCCTCCCAGCTTGGCTGGCCTTTCTCCCTGGAGTCCTGCTTTAGCGAGCAGGTTTTTCAAGTTCCTTTCTGGCCATTTTAAAGAAGTCAGTCAAAGGGGAAGTGAGATGCGTGCAGGAAGCAACCTTCCCAGGAATCCTCCAGCCCCCAACTCAGGCCCTGGAGGTACCACACCCAGCAGAGGAACAGCCAGGCAAGTACCCACCCTACCTCTGGTTGGAGGCCCACCATCACCCACAGGGAGCAGCTGCCTCTCTGGCATGGCCAGAAGCCCCACTCATGCCTCCACCTTGGATTCTGCTACTCCTTAGTCCTATCCTATCCCTAGTCAGCATTTATCACTGTCCTGCTCTGAATACTCTGTACACACCCAGCTGCACCTGTGTCCTTGCTTATGCTATTCGCTCCCTGCTCCCGAATCTCAGTTCTTCCCTTAGCCTCTTGGTGAACTTCTACTCATCCTTTAAAACCTTGACCAGAGGTTGCCTCCTCAAGGAAGCCTTTGCTGATCCTCTCAGACAGACTTTACCTCTCACTCCATCCCCCTAATCTCTATCTACCTCACTTTACATAGAGCCACCCTTGTCCTCCAGTGTTCTCCATCCTCATGATGAGGAAGTTGAGGACAGAGACTCTTAAGGTAGCATGAACAGAAATGCAGAGCTGCCACGGGCTATCAGACACTGTTCTAAAAATCCCAGATTGCAAGCCTGGTACTGGTGGCTCACACCTATAATCTTAGCTACTCAGGAGGCAGAGACCAGGAGGATCACAGTTTAAAGCCAGCCCAGGCAAATACTTTGCAAGACCGTAGCTCCAAAAAACCCATCACAAAAAAAGGACTGATGGAGTGACTCAAGGTGTAGCCCCTGAGTTCAAACCCCAGTACAGAAAAATAAATAAATAATAAATAACCTACACTCAAATGGCTCACACCCTGGGGCAAGTATTAGGATAAGCTGGCCCTATGTACTCCTACGCAGCCTACTCCCCATATCAAGGTTAAACTGGGAAGGGCAAAGAGGAGCAAAAGCTCAGGTCTATGCCTCCCATACCCAGGCAACCTGTGCTCATTGGCCAAACCATTTAGGGAGGCCTCAGTTTCGCACCATTGGACAAAACCCCAAGCCCAGACAGCGGTGTGTACTTGGCCCTCAACAGCCGCCTCACCCCTTGAGGTATACTATTCTCAGTTAGGCAGTTGACTCTCACTCAGCTTCCCACCCCATAACCTCCTTGAGGTGTACTTTTGCTCTCCTGATAAATCACTCTTTTCTATGTCCTTACTCTTCCTGGTTCTTTCACTGCACCTGGGTAGTGTTGTAATCTTGGGCATTTTACTCAAGAACAAAGGAACAGGGCTGGGGGCGTAGATCAAGGTGGTAGTGGCCTGCTTAGGAAGCCAGAGGCCTATAAGGCTCACCCCAACCACCCATAACATTTATTTCTGTTTTTAGTCCTTGTTTCCAGAGCAGAGCAGAGGGCCTGGCATGTGAGAGGGGTCCCAACAAATGTTTACCAAACAGAATGAATCTCCAATGCTGGATTCCCCAAAAGCCTCCCAGTTCTTCCCAGTGAAGCACCCTGGACCCATTGCATGGTCTGAGCCCAGTCCATGTCCTGGTGCAATTCTCCCTGGCTGTTTTCACCAACACCAGGTGCAACCATGGGGACTAATGTCATTACAGAAGGAATGTTACCAGAAAACCGGTCCCCTAGCCTTAATGCCAATCCATAGTTTACATATAACAAGAGCAAGGTTTTGAGGAAAAGGAATAAGGTTTATTATTCGTCAAAGAAGAGGGCAGGCACAGTCAACCTGTCAAAGCTCTGTCATCCTACTTCTGAGAAAGTGTCCACCTTTTAAAGGGGAATCCAGGAGCTCAGC